TATTTTGACACCATCTTTGTTTCTATACAACATTATAGTGACGACTGATGATTGTGGTTAACAAGCTATTAAAACCCTAATTTATCGGCCGATTAATGGACAATTCAGTTACTCGCCCTCAAAAAGTGAAAACACCGGACTCAATTTCTGGCAGCCAAGACCTGACTTGGCAAGGGGACAAAAAAATTGCTCGTAGAAGCTGCATCCACCGATACCTGGCCTTGAAGGATGACGAGCCATGCACCGACTAGAACCACTGCAGTGCTTTTAGAGCCAGAAGTTATGTTGGAAGTGATGAAAGCCCGCCAAAATAGTACTACGGCAACAATTTGACACTTCTCCTGAAGAAGCGATCCCAGGCGGTAGTTCTACAATGGACTTGAACTGTAAATTTGAGATTATTTCTTTTCGGAGAATCGAATACTCCAATAAGTGAGCGATATTTGATCTCGTGTGATGAATAGAGTGCAGATGTATGGGCTGAGTAAGTTGTCTAACAGGAGATTCAGCGAAACAGGTTTCCGCTAGGAGGTCGGTGAGTTTGTGTGGTCTCTTACCTTCAGTAAAAAGAAAACGTTGGGGGAGGGGGTAATTAAAACCGGCCTGCTTCCCGTGCGGCAGCGGTTCCCCACATGTCTCTAGCATTGGTACGATTTCACCTACTGACTAAATAGTTCTGAACTAATGATGTTATCTAATTAAGCAGTCCTCGTACGAGAATAAGTGGTGTACATGATGGTGTAAGGAGAAACTATATCAAGTCGTACTTTGGCGTAGATCTCATAGTTAATACAGAGCAAATTGTTGGCCATCCGAGAATGTAAGGAGAAAATGTAGGCATGTAATTTAATTTTCGTTGATAACCAACATGGGATAACAATATTAATGACTAAGCTCAGCACAAAAATTTTTTCCGTTTCCATGTATCGTAGAGCTTTCGTCAACACTGATCAGATCCGTCAAGTAATTGAGAACTGCAAAAAAAGTTCGAATGAAGATTTAACCAAGATCAACGCGCGGCCACCAACACACGGTTACGATATTTGCAAAACCTGTAGCCGATTAAAGAAACGCTATTTATTCCAAACAGAGGAAAACATAATACTACTACATTGAATCTATCTAGGCCTAAAAATTCAAGGCTCAGTTGCACAGCAAAACTGATACGGCATACAGTACGTTTACAGTACATTAAGGATAATGACTGACCTGATGCGAGCAAGATAAAATCAACTATATGCTTAATGCAAGAAATCTGTTTTATCTGTATAATATTTGATTTTGCATGCCGGAAGAAAACGCCGTCACCGTCAGCCTTTGCCCTATCTTCAAATAACCAAAAAACATAAGGAATATAAGATGCGTTCGTTTGTGCCATACACGTAACAGATAATAATGCCCACCTACTATTATTATGTCGAGGAGAAAAGGCACTTTTTACTATGCCAATTTGTTTCAACGATTTTAAGGTTGAGGGCTGGTATGATTTGCCGAAAAAACTCTACGACGAACAACCCAGGCTTTCGAATTCTGAAGGCTAAAAGTAGACTACACTAGCAACCAGAAGTACATGCTGTTAGTTGGAACATGTTTATTTTATATTAAACAGCGATATTTTGTTTGGCTATGGTTGAGACCGTAACGAGGATGGCTGACACCTTAAGCCAGTCGCGTGCCTGTTTGCGCAGAGGATTTTTCACCTAGTTTTTATAAGAGTACTTGGTGTGCGAGTGATAAATCTGTCGATCGAGGAGGAAAAGCGCGAATTAGCACCGAGACAAAGACCTAGGACTTCAAAGGATGCAACGATACAGAAGACACAGGCTCGTGACTAAAAAGGTATTTTCATAAAGGCGAGCAGCAGCAGAAAATTCATGCGTAAATAATCTGATTTCCGTCTTTTAATCTGTAAAGGGCGCAAACGATGCATGCGGACATACCGCGACGAATAAACGAAAACGCCATTGATTGTATTGTCACTAGACAAGCGAGTCGCGCGTTCCGGCTCGCATGTAACGACTGAAATAGCAATCCGCGGAGAGAACTTTGCGGTGATTATGAAGCTTGCTCGATTAGTGAGATCAATTTGATATATAAATACACATTATCGGTCGTCTGACGCGCCATGCCTTGGCAGTTCTGGCTATGAGGTCCAAATGTGCATTAGGTAGCAAAGCGTCATTGCTCTGTTCTTGTCAGTCCATCGAAGTATGATAATGCTCGTTAAAACAACGTATGAGCGTTGCATAGGGAGTCGAATGCATTTGCTGCTGTCTACGGCCGACATGCAATCACTAGGGTTGTTCACTATAACTACCCTATCGACCTCGATGCCACGCAACTCGGTCCTCAAGTCTGAGAAAGATCGTATGCATTTATAAAAATGTAATATACCCGACCGATACGATGCTCTGTAGTGTACCTACGTACAATTCAATCACGTGGACCAGCACGTGCTTAATGGCACTATTTCTAGCCCGTACAGCAACGCTGAGCCGAACGTACGAGCGTTATATCTATCAATAGAGAATGGCTTAGCATGTCACTAAGCCTAACCTATCACCTTGTGATCAAATTAAACAGAAAAACAGACGTCCTCGAAGGTGACAAGAGAACCAGAACAAATACTAGCTACAAGCCTTTCAGGATAAAATGTAGTAAAAAAAATGCGTGACGTAAAGCTACATGTGAGCGCAAAGTAAACAGAACCTTTTTAGGAAAATCACAGGCATCGTTTCATGCCTAGAGTCGTCATATTTGAAGTTAATTGTGACTTACAGTGCGCGTTACTAGCATTCAACCTTGTAGTTTATAGTGTTTTCACTCAAAGGAAATAGTGCTTTGCTAATTGATTAGAAAAAATGCTATAAACAATCGTCTCTGTGGTGTTCGTAGCAGAATTGCTTCCCAATAATGTTGAAGTTTAGCGTAGAAAAAAAACGTTTTCTCTATTGAGCTCATACAAACGTTTTACTGCTGCAGGGAGAATCGCGATTAAAATCGGATGATCGTATAAACAGACATATTGAACGACAAGGATGACCAAGAAGTCGTAGCAACGGTTCGAGTCTTGCGCTGGTACAACTGTTAAGCACTGCCTAAGACCGCTGCTCTCCAAAGTGGAGACAAATGTTATTACAGCCCGCTTCAAGCCAAGGTAGTCTCAACTCTAAATGTCACTAAGGAAATCTTTAAGGTGCTACCAGTACTCTAGTACGAAGATGACCACGAATTATGTTACCAGTTCAACCAGTCATAATCAAGCTTAAAGAATAGGTCGAATTTGCGTCCCAATGGGAATGACACAAATACCTGAGGACAGGTCATATATTTTAGACTTCATGGTGCAATATCATTTAATTAGTAAGCCTGTAACAATATCATTTTTTACACATAAAAGACAGTCGAAATTTAAATAACTGCGCGCCAGGTTAGGTCACGAAATGAAAGAACTCAATGCTATTCGGAAGTTAGTTGCTGAATATAAAGCTTAATAAAATCCTTGGTTAGGCCATAGATCTTACTATTTCTTCAAGCGAACGAAAGAGTTATTGATCCGTAGAGATTGCAGTATATAAAATTGCTAGAATCTACTTGGTGAAGTTTCGAACATCTGATGAATTCAGTTATGCCAATTAATAATAAATGGTGGATGGCCATGAAATAGAAAAACGGCACCAACTCCTGTATTAATAACTGGTTCGTCTAAAATTTAAATAAACCCGTGTCCTTGAGTAAAGTCGTCGCTTTGCAATCAAACCTGAATTGGTACATATGAATTTATACCTAAATGTCAGCGATATATAATCTCAATAAAATAAACCCGGACTCCACTGACAGTTTTTGAATGAGCTGCAAGAAAGGTGATGTATTTCTTCAATGTTACAATGTTCTGGTATATAAACAATAAACCCTTTTAGAGTTCTAACCGTCGTTCCTTCATAGAAGGAAAAAAGTTAGTCCCAACAGGACGTAGTCTGGCAAAATGCGTCTTGGTAAAATATTTTGAATAACAGTGAGGACTTCGAATTAGATTTGTAGAAGTCCATTTTATCGGGGTCGATCCAACGCATCTCATATACAAACCAAGACAGTTCTAGCAGTCCAGGTGTCCTGGCCGCTTTGCAAATACAAGAGCTGATTCATCAAACCAGAAGGAGTTTTTCCTAGAAACCATCTTGTCGTTAGGTCTAAGGAATAATCTCATTCTGTTCTACGCTGATAAAAATAACTGAGACGGGTGTTTTTCTTTATCCGGTCACTTCTTCACGAATGCGTCACCGAAATGGAATCTAGTTGGGAAGGTCCCAGGCAAATAAATGTCCATCTTCTGTTAATTGATGTATACCGTAGACATGAGTGGACATGCATTTGGTCTTCCTTTTCTTTTCAAACTTCTTCTTATCAATTTTTGACGATCCTCCGTTGGAGCGACAAATTGCTATTTAAAGTGGATACTCAACTAGTGGTTGTTCGGCGAGAATCGTTAGCAGGATCCACCATAAATTAACGCAATCGACCAACCAGTGGCATCTTAATTCCCATAGCGTGACCGGGAAAGGCGTAGCTGGCCTCAGTCATAGCCTATGGCTATTTTTCCTAGTCCGTATTTTCGTTGCATTCTACATTAAGCAAGTGGCCATTAGCATACGGGGCGCCAGCCGCTGTATGACCTAGACGTCGGTCCTTGTTGATTCTATCCGATTCCTAACACTTTGTTCAAAAATGTTTGATATACTTGTTCATATCGTGCTACAAATTGAGCTATTCATAACTTTCCTCTCGAGTGGGATGATCCAAAGTAGCCAACACTCGACGCGATGCAGCCATAGTGGTCGGGACTGTTTCTCAAAGCGTCATCATGTACTACCGCCATACTGGGTGTGTCTGTAGTTCATCATTAGCCCTACGCTCCCGCGTTGACCTTGAGACCGCACTCGGGCATCTTTTAGCGGAAAGGCTTTTCAGCGCCTTCTCTCTCACTACGTGGATAGAAAACGAACCGAGATCATCTGGCAAGAACTGGCCGAGCGACGTTCACGACGTCAGTCGTGAACGTTTGTTTGTGGTGTACAGTATCTGTAAAATATTGTGCCAATAGGCCTGAACAGTTGAATCGTGCGTAGCCAGAAAAGGCGATAGGTTGAAACATGCGGACACTTTTGCTATCGGCTGTTTGTGCTCTGACTATCGCGATTGGCCTTTCCAAGGACGTGGACACGCGTAAGTGGAAACGTTGACCAATCTGTCAAACGATTTGCCTGTATCGCATCAATAGTAAATAAAATGAAGATGGAAAAAGATGATGGATTACTTTTTTAAACGGCATTTTTTTCCTCATATAAGTCTGTATTTCGATTTGCCATTTTTTAATTAAAATAAAATTAAGGAGAGACACCAATGGAAAATAAAGAGAACATTTTAACTAGATTTTCTATCTATCAAGACACTTCTTTAATCATAGCATCGACAATGAATAATATATATATATATATATACAGATTCACCTAGGACCACGTTAGATTCTCTATAAGCGCGTACAAAAAGTAGCTGCTAGAGCACCTGTGACTTCTTGTGTTCCCCAGCCGTCGACAATCTGCTACCCTATCTCCAAAGGTGTTGCCTTCTCGGTCAGGAGTTTGCCCGCTCTCGTTTGTCCTGTGACGAAGCCAAGTTGAGCGCGGCACATCGCCAACACATTGCGGTCTCGAACTATAAGGGCGTCTCGAATATTAGCTGCACCATATCGGCCTCCTTCTGCTGTCAGGAAGCACTCGAGGTAAGCTTAACACTTCATGGGACGAACTTGTAAAAGGCCAAGCGAAATTGGCATATGTATATGATCGTATTTGATGAGAAAAAAAGTGACATTCTGAGATACGATCGTATGTCCATTGTAAAACACGAACTGATTTAATAGGAACTGTCAATAAGGTATCGGAAACTTTAAGTTTATTGCGCGCATTGAAAAAATAGTAGGCTCAACGTTTAGTTAAAAATAATTTTTTACAAAAAAAAACCGGGAAAATGAATTTGGTTTCTATCTAGTCAAAGTTATAATTAGATTACATACTCTCCTTTAATGTGCCGCTTAACCAGAGAGTACATAATGAAGTGCCACCCGTTTAATCTGATAGAAACGCAAGATTAAATAACGGAACTTTTTGCTGACGCCAGTTTCCGCTTACAAAAGCGAGTTTCCGTAGTAACAGCAGCGGCAGCAGCAGTAGATCCCGGCAGTGATCATATGGCTTTTTTTTGTCATTAGCTTAGCTTTTATGTCAGTGGCTTATTGCGACGCAGCTTCGATATTCTGGAGAAGATCACCACCTGGTCGTCCATAGACCTCGATTACCGAAAAACACTTCGATATCGAACTCTGGAGGCGGGCTAAGAAGATGAAAACAAATGTAGAGTCCACTATGCGAGTTTATTCTGGCCACGTGGTCTGCTGCTTTGTTTTGTGTAGCTAGATAAGAACAAATGCTTTCATGCCAGACAAAAATGATGTGTTTTTATTAGCGTTATAATCAAGCGACCGTTTTGCAATTGCGTATTCTCCTGTTTTATGTGTTTGTCTTGAGTTCGTAGCGTGTTGTTGGGAAAGCCTATTACCGCGTTTACAATATAATTAATTGGTAGGTACACATATAGACAGCGAGCTTAAACAAAAAAGACCCTCGCATTTTACTGAGTTTACAGGTCGACAAGGGCGATTTAATGCGAAACTATAATCTATGCGTCGTCTAGACATGTAACTATGATGTGCATAGGGGGGATTGTATTTTGCGAACTGTGTTTTTGTCTAGCATATGAAAAAAAGTCTTGCAGCAATTTTGCTATTTGAATACTCTTTCCGAATGAAAGTATAACCCAGCTTAATGAGGAACTAAATCCAGTTACAAATACACTCCTATACTTAAATGCTATGGCATAAAGTGTCACAATCCCTGTTTTAAAAAAAGATCTTTCAACGTTGTAATCAAGCGCTTTGAGAACTTTATAAAAAGTAATATAATAAATAAGAAAGCACAAAAAACAAAGTTGTCGCTTTTTGAAAATGTTATTTTTTTGATCTTCGGCTTTTATATATATATATATATATATATATATATATATATATATATATATATAGAATTAAATCGCTTAGATTCTTAAGTGTCGAAACCGACTTGCCCCCCTGATCAATTCGAATTAGCTAGAGTAGAGAAGTCACACATCGTGGCTGTTGAGCTGACGTTTCGATATAGCGTTACGAATTATATTTATTACTCTAATGCTATCCAATAATTATCCTGATTATTCAGAACTTAGCTGTTGGTAAGCCTACACAACCTTTGACACTTCTCGTTTTAGAAATCGGAAAACAGCGAACAGCAGCCTATTGGCTGGCGTCTTTTTTAGAAGGTCATGACCTTTCGCAGCTGTATCGTTAGATCACAATCAGTAGCATAGATTCCGGATTGAACAAGATGACTCTGGTCATTAGCTTCAAATACAGAAGTTTTTTATTTTTTTTTTTAATTTGAACAGCGGGAGGTTCATTGTGATCAGGGCATCAATGCCGCATTGGCATATTCGGTATGTTCCCAGCAAACAGACTTAACTGCAAAGGTAAGCGTATGCTTCATTATTACTACAGTACTCAAATTACCGTACAATGTTTTCTTATATCTTGCCCCAACGAAACGAATACTTCACACTGCTATACGTGAAACGTAGGGATCCGATTCGGTGTACACGGCCTAATCGTTCATATTATTCATGGCTTATATTAGGCTTGCTGCAACTGGTGCACGGCTGGCCGTTTACGACAAAAAAGAGGTGACAGTTGTGAAGAGCTTTCAGAAGAGATCCCTCTGCACGTGAGGGAAGCATTCACGTCATGCTGCCAGCAAATTCCATCAATGAAGACCCAAAGGCGTGAGTACTAATTCAATAAGCCCTATTCCGGCTTATTGGGCATATCTCAGACGTTTGTGTATTGTTAGTAGGGGTATGTTTGAGAATATGCCTAACTTTACAATGACCCTCTAATAATGTTTGCCCCGTTTCTGTTCTTACGCGTTCGTATCCATTCATGAAAGTGTATTTCCGTCGTATCAGCGGCTATACGTTTTAGAGAACTGTATTATAAGAAGCATTAAATAGGTTGGCTGTTACGTATGAGGACATCGGTGCCTGGCTATATATAAAGCGTAAAAGCGCACAGAAGCACTAATTGGATTTCTATATACGACATCCATTTGGCCGCTGCCATTATCGCTTTGTGCAGAGTGCGGTAACAATCAGTGTAATAACAACGTCACCTGCGTGGCTCCGACGGAGACGTGCGCGTTTGATGATCAAAATTGCCATTACCGCTGTATTGAATCATCGATGAGTTGTGGCGTAGGATACAAGATGGACGAACTAGGACACTGTCAAGGTATGTCAGGATATCGCACCTATAACGGTACGATATTGCCTACGCAGAGCTCGAGAGCTAACGGTTCTTAGATTTATTGTGAAGAACGTTGACATTTTTCTCCATTTAATTCAAGAAGCCATGAAAATGGGTGCGACAGTTGCACCGAAAGACCTTAACAGTTCTTATGTTCAATCATGCAACAAAAGGCAGGTAAGACATACGGTATATATAGTAGAAAGGCATTTGGCTGAACTTGAACTCACACCACTTGATTCTGCTGACCGCGCAAGCGTATCGATCATGTGAGTTTCGGGAAGGTGCCCCACATATACGAACAACAAACGTTCCTATCTCATATATTCATTCATTCATTCATCCATCCATTCATCCATCGATTTTTTTATGTCAACGGGGACATTTTTATCAGGAATTTATTAGGAACAACGCGTAAACACGAAATCGACTGTCCAGTGCAAAATCCAAAAAAAGAAGAATAGCGCAAGCTGTAGTTCCTACTACTGCAGATGCCTTCTATCGAACCCTACTCACTAATTTGGTTTTCATGTTCTTATATAGATATCGACGAATGTGCCTTGAGAATTCACTCATGTGCCCCGCACGAGGTTTGTTTCAACGAATATGGAACCTACCGATGCCGAACCTGCAATTGTGAGGAATAACCTAACAGCAAAAATATCATGCGAGAATCATAAAACATTATATACACCCACATAAGATTCATTGACTTGACGAGCACTTCTTAACGTCGCGTTAAATATCTGCTTCCGTCTTCACCGCCCCAAGCTCGAGAGAGGTGGCGGCGGCGGCGGCGGCGGCATGATTTCACATATTTTTGCAGTCTTCATGTACATTAGCCAATCTTTTCCTAACAAATGGATCGATTGTTGATTCGATTAACCTAACATAATTATTGATAATAATATAAGTATTTATTAGTCGTCGGTTCAGCTGTTAACAAACAGCTTATCGTAATTTACTGGACTTTACCCCTCAAGATTTGAGACAGGTTTCAATTTAGGTAGAATGAAGAGTAAAAGGGACTTGCGACGGAACAGTTAGTTACCTGTACGTTTAACAACTCGTCCAATTACTGAGGCAGTCAAACTACGTGTTTATCGAGCTGTCGTCTTACGAGAGAGCGGGATGGGATGAGGTAAAGTTCAATAAAAAGAGAAATAAATCCACTGTTTGTTACAATTTACTGCTTGCTTATCCTTTGTAACCTTAACACATAATCGTAGCTGATTTGAATACTTCATTACTTTTGGAAGTTTCTCAAATATTCTTCGAGAGTTGAAAACGGCTTTATTACATCTATACGTACGTATCTTCACTGCTTCACGACATCAATGGACATCGCATGGGGTCATTCAGTTTCTCACAATGATATGATCAAAGAGATCATTGTTCATACGACGTCAGACGACAAATCGCCAAATGATAGAAGAACATCTGATGCCTCCCGAATTCTGCACGATGCGAACACAATTATTGCTTAGGATTAGAGGCTGCAAAGGAACTAGAAATTCATTTCTGGCAAAACAATTTTTAAGATTTGTAACTACAGAATTGAATTTTTAATTGTGTAATAAAAATAAACGAATGCTAATGCTAATGATGGATACAAGCGGAAGTGAGACACTGCTTTAAATAACGCTATTTTTCTAATGTGTTAATATATATGAACCCATTCGAATAAAAAAAAAAAAAAAAAACAGTCTCTTCATTACGAAACTGCGTTACCAACAACAATCGTATTCCCATTCGAAAATTCGATTTTAGCAAGCGATAAAAAATTCAATAAAAATACATACGGCTTCCATAAGACATATGAATGTCTTCCTATGAAAGCCGTATGTGTTATACTAACCAAAGCAAAAGGAATATGACAACAACAAAGAGTGCGTGAGACACAAGTATCCAACTAGCCATCGACTCCGTGGCCATGACAGCTTCCTTGCTGGCATCCTCATAACGGTTAGATGCTAAGTAGCAGACTGAGGTTGAAGCTAAATCCTGGGGCGTAAAGGTATCGGCACCTGTGGAACAAAAGTTTCCCATGTGAAAAGTACTATCAGTTGATCCTGATGTTATTTTTTTTTTCATTATTATTATTATAACATGTGTAATTTGTTACACTAAGCGTTCAATTGCTATGTCTTTAAAGCTGAGAGAGATATTTATAGTTATGTGCTACTATATATCGATATCTTTTTTATACACTGCTTAAACTGCCTGCGTGTAGATGCTTCTCCCCGAAGGCGCCCATGTAGAACGGCTGTTTTAGTGTGACTTTGGGCTGCGCCTCAAGTTTAAGGAATCACTAGCTTCTATGGGGGTCACTTACATGTTACAGGTTCATCTGAAGTCAACTCTAAAGAAAAACGTTTAAAATTAGTAAACTTTACATTTTTGGCTATTTATTAAGCAAATAAATGTCAATGATTTAACATTAAAAATTCTATTGTAGAAACTACGCCAGGATAAGTAAAAGTGAAAAAATAATTTATTGCTTTTTCTACTACTCTTTCCCTTACAAAAAAAGGGCTAATAATGAAGTAGCGATGCTAAGGTTGGGAAACTTTACCGCAGCGATTCAACTGTAACAAGTTAGGTGGCAATTTTTTAGCTCGTTAGGTTTTGATCGACACGCTGGTGCATCGCGCAGTTTTCTAAAAATTTTCTAAAAAATTTTTTTAACAATATAGAATCCATTCAATTTAATAACGCAATAATAATAGTTCAGAAATAAGTGCTTGGGTTAATGGAACATCCTAGCAGCAGAAAAGTCCCACAGCATGCCCTGGAAGTCTGGCCTCAAATGCATGGCAATCACTTCACGCAATTCAAAATTAAATAATTTGTCAAATGCTATAGTACAAAAAGCTGGATGTTTCAACCTAGCTAGTCGATAAGATCGATAAGGAATGACGAATTGTATGTACAATGCACCACCACACTGGTAATTGAAAGTGTTTCGTGTGTAAAACAATGTGATTATTATTATTAGTTTCCGCTATCAGCACGATAATAAATAAAGGTTATTTCTACTACAACAGACTTCCACTAGAAATGCACAACAAACCCTGAATAGCAATCATGAGAGTTTCCTGTTCTCGGCTATCGGCATCCAGCAGGGATCTAAGAATAACTCTCTTAAGTTTGGTAAGGTCTTCAATCGCTTTGTGGAGTTCTTCACGAGTCTCTGAAAGCTTATCAAGCTGGGCCATGAAGTCCTTGAGTTCCCTCTGGACATCAGCGTCCATGGCGCAAGCCGATTTCAGTACTGTAGGCTGACTTGCAAGCCCACCCGACCCACGAATAACAGGAAATCGAATCGTTTTTTCACTGGGGATAATAGCGGTCGAGGAATTGCTTCGCACGGTTGGGAACGAATTGTCTGTTCCAGATATGACGGCGCCCGCACTATATTTTTCATTCAGAACTGCGCCCAATGCGCCCCGTATGGGCGAAATCGCACCCGAACTAGTTCTGGTAAAAGTGTCCGTACCAAATCTTTTTACATATGCGACAGATTCCGAACTGCTTTTTGTAGAAACACAAGATCCCATAACGGCTCTTGCAGATGAGATAGTAACCCAACTACCTTTTGCAGATGCGGTACTGCTTAAAAATTTTTTTTTCACCGATATTGGCCTCGACCTCCTAAACGCTAGGGCCGTGCCTGTACTGAAATACGCTCTATCGCCAATTGTTTTTGTCTGAGTGGTGCACTCTATTTGCCTATCATCTCCAGTTATTGTGTTCTTTGTCGCCACAGTAGAACATGGGAAAGTAGCACTGTCACCCTGTCCAGCCGATACCCGGCTGGTATCATCATAGCTTCTCCACTGAGTACCTGCCGATCTGATCCTGTAAGCACCAGGTCGGTAGGTCGTTTCGTTCACCTCCTGACCACCGTCCGTATCATCACGGGTTGTCTCCGAGTAGTGAAATGAACGGACGTCGTCACTGATCGAGCGAACCTGTGATAGAGACGGCGTTGCTATTGGCGTCGAACCGTGTTCAGTCAATCGAGCTTTGGCAGACACGGACGACGCCGTACTGAGCGTCGAATAACGCAATGGGTGGCGTCGTAAGTAGATAGAGTTGGCCGGTGTCGACATATCGCTAAGGATAATGTAGGATATATGAAATAGTACGATCGAACAAATCCGCACAGTACGTTGCGTTTGAGAAATGTTCAGGGAATAACTGGGAAACTAAATCACGTTACCAATGCTAACTTAAAGTTACCAGTAACGCTTCAAAGCCAAGTAGAACACCAGGTGAACTACCCGATCCTCGTTAGCCTTTTTCTACAAAGCTAGGTGGTTGCAACGGAGGGTAGCAACATGGACCGGGAGCGTTGATCGCCTCAGTCCTATGATTCTATGGTCGTTTATCTTTAGAATGATAAATGTCTACAGCCAGCAGATTGATCCGTCGTCTGCTTTTGGTGCTGAAAATCTTGTGCACATAAGCCTCGAGCACAAAGCACGCTGGCGCACACAACATGCACGATAAACCGCGTAACTGAGAATAGGGCAAAGGGGCACGACGGTGGTCAAAACCGTGCTTTTTGAATTGTACCTCTGATGCTAAACTACGCTGAGAGACGTCACGACCCCAAATGAATAATACACGGCTTTAACAGAAACGGTCAGCGAATATCGCGCACTAGAAGAAACTAATGTCGTTATTATCGACATATTGAATGCATTTTTACGCGCCTAATCAGCTGTCATAAATATAAGTTGCGGACACCGTATATATTCGTATGCATATATATATTTGTATATATACATATCAGTATACATATATTCGTTGCTAAATTGCACTAGGTCGTCAGGCCTAAAGTGAAGTAAGACTCGCTTCCGGCGAGTACAGGCAATTTCGGGTACGAATTGTAAACGATGAACGTAAATGAAATACATAGTGGCAGCTAGCAAAGGTTGCACCCAACGGAGGACAGTCGTGTGACGTAGCTTATGGCCTATCAGCTTATCTGGTGCTGACATTTTGGTCCCGATGCAAAGGTTTCAACCAGTGCAGTTGGCTGTCGTACTTTCGTAACGAGAAGCTCTGCTGTAAGAAGTCTGCTGCATTTCTACGCTATTGGTCTTTTCCACTATTCTAACAAAAATTATGGAAAGTACTGCCTACTGAATACAAAAGGCGTAGGTAACGATTCTCGGCAACCTACTAAGGAACTCTCTTCGGTAGCCGTAGAGCCGTAGAGTAGTAGACGCGAAAGACAAGCTAGGTCAAGCATTATTTTGGTTTAAAAACACTTCACTTATCATTTTTTTAGATAAATGAAGAAACAATGTCAACGAATCTTGTGACTCTTCACATGATTAAGCTAGCCGAAGAAGCAGTGTGGTTATATGAGGTATCCGTCTCAGGTTCTCTTTATGAAATGTAGACGTACATCAGGCTACTTGCACAGGCGCTCTCCTGTTGACACACAATGACTGTTTACGCTTAATAGAAGGATGATCGACGTTTTGCAAACTCTGTTAAACGGTAAACGTCATACCCTTCATCTATACTTCGACAGCGTACCATTGATTGTTGTAGATTGTTTCGTTGTACCATCATCTAAAGTGAGTTACAGAAAAAACCGAAGCCTCCCGAAGCACTCCTTATTCGGAAAATTCGCTAATATATCTCTAAAACGATAAGGTAGATATCAGGACACACACACCTAGCGGTTAATACTGAAAGCATATTTTTGTTAATGTTCATTTGTAATATGTGGCAGATCAATATGATAGATCATCCAAGGCAGTCGGAATAACCGAAGCCATGAAAGAGTTATGTTATAGCGGAAATGTCAGAAATGTTGGGTGCAGGTCAACTACAAACATGCATAGTATGTCAACAACATATATATTATGTCTGATATATTCAAGATTAAGTGAAATGTTACTTGTATTTTGTGTCATCGGCATGATGACGTATATTCAGCGGGGTGTCGACAAAAATGTTGACGCTTTCAGTTTTCAACGCATCAGGCGAAGCCGAGCACGCATTACGGTAGGCCATTTCATGAGATGAAGCAACGCAGTCATTCATTTGAATATACTGTCTCTGGGTTATAATTCTGAAAATCAAAAATGAACACGCACACACAGGCAAGAGTAAGAACGGATCCACTTTACGGGCGCGAAGATCGTCGCAGTTAGCTAAACATCTAGTTGAATTAGATATCACGAACGCAACGTGATTTAACGTCTTAAGTAAAAGAACAGGAGAGGCGTTGCAATTGTGTCCGTTATTCGGGCAGATCTGTACGTAAAGCGGTCTTCGCGGCAAAATTTCCGTTGGATCATCGTACATTGTAACGAGAAGCATGTCATTTGGTTTTCTCTCTTCTTGTTTCTGACGATGCTTTCTGTTGACGCACCTGTTGTATGTCCTTCGTTTTTGGACAAGGTGTCGGTAACCGAAAAGTCGACCTTAACCAGATACTCCCGGCCGTTACGGTCTCATTCAGCTTTTCTCGCCACATAACTAATAAAAAGCAGATCTCCGAAGCATGAATTGGCCTGGACTCGATAAATAACCGGTTACTTACTATACAATCACGCGCTTATTGATGAGAAGTAAGTTGACACTGGTAGATATTGCGTGGAGAAAACGAAAGCAATCGTGATTGCGCAATGATAAGATCGGGACCATAGACTTATCCTGCAGCGGGTTTATACAACTTTATTCAGATGTTAGCCTAACTCACGAAATTGTGCTGGCTGCTACGTCTTCGAGATCCTCACACACAAAAAACGTACTTTAGATGAATTGTCTCCCGAAATTCTCTGTAATTGGTCTCGTAGTGACAAGTAACAGATAACCTTGACACCGCATAGTGTATGAGTGTTGGGAACTACCGTGCCCGTCAAGCATAGTTCAGTGCACGGTCAGAGATCGCAAGGGCCATCTGCTGAGACGGCTAAGGATATTCTGAAACAAAGAACTACAAGGGTAAGTACGTTACAACAATAAAAAAAAGACACTGCCTTGGGGTTAGCGAGAAAGAGTTTGAAAATTACGATAGCGATCCATCAAACGTACCTGAGTGGTAAAAGGCTTTGAAATATATTCAGATGCATCAAAAGGCGGAGAATTATTTTGTCAATTATGTACTGGACTATCTTTAAATATCTCCTGAGGCGCGAAAGCGAAAACTTGAAGAGTGCCAGATATAATGTTGAAATTGATCAATGCATCGTCGGTAACAAACCGGATACGACATCATTTGACAGGGATCTCTTCAGCACGGTGCTGACGGCAGCCACGTCGGCCTCCTGGCAACCGTTCAGCGCTTCGCTAGCGCCACTTAACAGAGATCTTCAGCGAAGAATGCCCAGCTGACGAGCGCAGTTGCCGCCACCGACTCTGGAGGCGTAATCAGAATCTTTCGATTAAACACAAACGAACTATCGTTTATCAAAAAATGTAATTCGGTAGCTAGATTGAGCGACGAGCGATAACAACCAGCATTAACAAGTTAATACCCATCTCTCATCTAGCAGCTGTTCCGCGAACCCTTTGCGAACAGGATGGCCATAATTGACATTTACAATCTAGGAAACCCAGTAAATTGCTACTATACATTAAGAAATGTCGCCACGAAGTCTGCCGCCTCGTAACTTAGCCCGTCAAATACGCAGCACTCAAAATGGAGAACCAACCCATAGCTTTTCATGAACTCTCTCACGAACCGCGCTCCATAAACGGTATACTTTTTAAATCAATTTTGGTCATTTAGACATGCATCATTTTGTAGAACTTCTGACGTTCCTGACCCTTGTCTTGGAGCCCGTCGCATTCGTCAATGTTGACCCATTCCATTGAACGTTTCTCAAGTGAAAACGTCAGCCTATTTCGATGACACTGGACCCAACTAACACTTGCGCGTCCTGTTTACCGTCTTATGGAAGATTTTTGCATTATGTTCAATCGGCTAATGGAAAGTAAATCGAAACGACTGAAAAATGTATATAATTATATACAAGTAAATGTTCCAAAAAAAGAGGACGTATCCATGTATCCAGACTAACAAACGTTTTCAGCTCTGTATATTTCTAAATTATTTCGAAATGCCTTCTATTAAGCTCGATGTATTTATTTTTCAGCTGAATTGTTGCAGTCCTATTTTTTCGATTAATTTTACCGAAAGAAATATGATTTGACGCGAAATTATTGTATGTAACTCATGGGCTACGTTATTTATTTGCTGTCGATGTTCGATTTGTTTGTCTATATGTATATACACATTGATACAGACATATTGCCAGTACTTCAAGGCTTCTAAGAGGCTTAATTAAATGCACCGTTTTTGGGTTTATTGAACCTAAACTAAATGTCAGTGTATATAAAATACTTGTGTACGCCATTCTACACTTCACAGTGGTTCAAACAGCATTAGGCTGAAATTGGTTCAGAATATTCAGCTTTGCCGTGCTATTGAACCGCAGTTCTTTTTAGGCTGATTTTAACTTTGATTAGTATTTAGTTGATCAGCTGAAACGAACCCGAAGTCTAATTATAATAAATTGATATCATTTTTCCTGCTATGCATTTATGTCGGTGAGGATTTCTGCATCCGAACCTATAACCGAGAAGATGTCCTGCTGGTATCTCAGAAAGGTTCGTTTTGGTCTTGATACAATCTAAGTATGTTGCATGTGAGTTTTGCTGTTTCCAAATTAGAATTCTACAGTGGTCTCAATAGTAAATCGATAGTACTTTTGTAAGACTACGCCATATGTTACGAGTAAAATATAGTATACAACTGACATTTTTCAAATAACTGCCAGACTATTTCTGCTTACCAGCCCCGACATTGAATCATCTTGAATAGTTAGTGTTGATCCTTGACATCATTTTGTGCCTGCTAAAATTGCAAATTTTCTCAACGGGTCTCTCGACGGATCTCCACTCCCTACCAGAAACGATGTCATACTCTACGTCATATTAATATGTGTGTGCCGAATAAAGGCGATAAGATATCAAAAAAAAATGCTGACACTGACTTTATCTGTCATATATCGTGATTGCCACTCTTAGCACTAATACAACAATCATCTTTTCTCTACTATAATCACAATAATAACACGCTCCTTGTGCCCATATCATGTACAATACAATCGACAATTTTCATGTTCTTAAATAGGCACGCGTTTCCTAAGCATCGGCTTCCTGCACGTAGGTTGCAGGAAATAGACCTCTCCTGAGCGTCCCGCCTTTCATGGTTTCGCCATACCACCAGCCGTCAGCGCTTTTCCTAAGGACTCCAACGACGTCACCCTGACGCAGCGATAATTCATCACTGAGACTGGCATTGTAATCATAGAGAACTGTGCATCGGGTGAAGATCGATTCTCTTAAGCAGGACGTTCCATTGCTACCTGGTGAGACGCGATGATCGCTAGATTCCTACGAAACAGACAATTTAAAGCGAAATACAAAAATATCAGCGAAAGCGTTTTGTCGTGAAAATTTACTTGGAAGTTTTTCAACCCCATAAAAACTCGATTCTTGAAATCCACTTTATTTGTTTGGAGATATTTCCACGATAAAGCTCATCGACAGAAACTTACCGCTGGAAGTGATTTTAGCAGCTTGCTTAACGTATCAAAAGAGCATTGCAGTAATAGAAAATTTAACACTAAATTCACAAATAATAACTGATCTGGCTTTTGAGCGACGCTTCAGACTGCAACGGAAACTTCTCAGTAATATAGCCGTGCAACTAAAGATTTATAGATAAGAAGGCTACAATTTGACCTCAGGTGTGTCGAAATCGGTATGAGCGATCATCTATTTCAAGCAGAAAAGTCAATGTGCATGTGGACTGAACGTAAAAGCAAAAAAAGCAGAAATCTGGGCCTCTTCACCTGATTCTTGGGTTCTGCCTTTGAGTTATGTGATCTCAAAGACGCTGTACAATCAGTTCGCAAAATCACGTCGTCTCCTTGTTCCGCACTATCGTAGATTGGATTTTCGGACATTCTCTCCGATACGGGCTCCGCATCGCCATCGTCCGAGAATGCTTCATCTCCTATTAATGTATCGTAACTTGTTATTCATCAGTGAAAAGTTCCGAGGAAGAATGAGTCAAATCGGAAGAACATAATGATTCAACCCAAGCGACTTCTTATTCATCTAATCTTCTCAGGGATTTCTCTATTTCACGATGGTACTGCTTTGCGTTTTCGGAAGCCCTATTTTTCCGCCAACACTGAATTCTTCCTATTTAGGTAAGTACGTCCCACGTACAGCTTCTGTAGTGAATGGTCTCCTTGGCAGATGAATGCAATTAAACGTAGAACTAATATTTGATGGAAGCCTTACCATCTTCAAAGTCGGAACCCTCGCCGCTCCGATTTATGCCTTCCGACCCCCCAGAATGGACACCTGTACAACAAAAATGATACGTAATAAAACAAACAAAAAAAGCTGTTGAAAGCAAATATTTCACAGGGTTTTGCTAGACAAAAAATATTATGACTGTACGAACATACAACGGCATGTTGCTAAGGTTTCCCAACTTTTTTTGGCCTGATGCATGAGTATGTTACGCAATAGCTTCTCCTGATCTCATTTCGTTACCAATCTCTAATTCAGGTCAGCGTCTATGAGTTTTGCCGATTAGTAATTAGTGTTTCTTTTATTTTTCACTCTTTTTTTCACGCTACCTTCGGATGAGTCGGAATTCTGCGAATCGGTCCTTTCAAGGTCCGCTGTCGTAGTACCTCTGGCAATCCATGATGGTATCTTGAGTATCGTCTGAGGATGACCCTGCCGATCTCGGTGTTGTTCAATATGTGCGCTTAGCGGATGTGAGGGTCGTAGCTGCCCTCCAAGACTCAGAAGAACGCACTGTAGCTTGTAGCGAGTTGCCTCAAGGAAAGCTGGTGGATATGAATTTGAAACACGAATGACGGTAAAGTTAACCGTTGTGTGTGCAGTTCTGAGAATTTTACTGCTATGAATTATAGAAGACAAAAGATTATCATTAATGTAATCACCTTTAGTACAGTAATTATTGCGAGTATTAAAATCAGGTATTGTTTTTATTTAAGGCCTGTAACTACCTAGAGTCTGTTTCAGTTGTCTAAGCTTCTCTTGAACGTCTGCCTGGGCATCTTCATCACCGAACTTCGACGTCTCTTGAAATACTCTGGCAAGATTTTCGACGCCTTCTCGGCCTTTCCGTTCCACCTCCAAATCTCGCATTACCATCATAAGAAACTTTTCCAACGATTCCTTCCGTCGATCTAATTGCATTTGGTTTTGTAGGTCTTCCGCCTAAAAAAAGTACCATACTTGAAACTTATCGAGTATATCAGTTTCTTATTTGAGAAGCTTCACCGGGGTATGTACAAAACGGCGGGATTTTGCCAACGGGAACAAAAACCAACCGTTATTGTAATTACTCAGGCTGCTTACTTACTACGTTACCATTAATGGAATAACGTGTAACACTCTTGTTGTTGCTACGCGGTTTACTCATACGAGGCACCAAAATTGTGCTTTCATCGATGTACGCGTTAAAAAAAATATGAACAGTATCTCTATGAATTTTTTTCTACAACTCATTCCGTCCCGTCATAGTCTGTTGCCAAATGCATTGTTGACGCTATAACTCTCATTAAGAAAAACATACAGATGATTTTGTGATAGGTCAGGAGGTGAAGCTCTTCAAAATCGATTGTCAGCAATCAATTTTCAGCGAGAAAATACATTCTATTCGCCACGCAAGCCAAGATTTGCGGAAGCAATATCAATAAGATACCAATCTTTGTATGAGATTAGTGACTGGCTTTTTTGTTGTTCAATAACAATAGGTTTCCAACATTTAGCTAACGCGGCGAAGGACCAAGACGCACACTTACAAAGACATCTGGAAGGTACTGTTCTGGCACATTTGGCGCGGTGCCCTTCCGCTTCACGATTTCGAAGATATCTCCCGTCGGATTCGCTTTTTCGATTGAGCGTTCCAGTCGTTCCGCGCAGCCGGCAGTTGACGGACCTACCTAGAAAAGTAGTCGAAATGCCCACATGAACAGATGTGAAAGCAAGCCCTTCAAACAAGCCGGCGGTTCAATGTTGGTAACGTAGTGGTTGCAATAAAAGCGTAAAGCAAACTGCTATGGACCGTTCGTCGCAGCATCAGTTAAGCTAACTATAAATCCTACAGCTATAACCAAGTATAGGTACAAAGTAGTCCTGAGCTCGTAATCAGAAGGCGGTCAGGTAATGGTATGACGAATAGCTAATCCGAGTAAATGTTCAACTGACTCGCGCCTGCCAACGTGTAATTGTTACAATTAGTTACTTACCAGAGCAAGACTACATGCGTATCGCTGCATCGCTTCGACAAAACCCATCAGACGCTCACGTTCCATGAGTTCGAAATTGCGCGCGCAATCGTAAACCGAAGCTTCCCACTCTTGGCGGGATCGTTCAGCGCTGAAATTGTCAGCGTCAATAGTGCATAAAAACAACTTTAATCTTCTCCGTAAACTTTTATAAACGTCTACTTGAAATGTTTTCAATATTGCAAATTATACATCTTCAACAGAACATCGGACAAATTTTAGGCATGTGCAATATAGCTTAGCGAGCTCAAGAAGCGTTGATCGGAATATATCTCGTTCTAAAGCATAAGGAACCGATATACATATATGTCTAGAAACCTTAGCCCTATCGTCTGTCACACCGAAACCCTATCAGCATCCTTCTCTCGATGTTAACAGAAATAAACGCGAAACATCAGGAAGAAGGCATTTCACAAGGAAGTGACAGATGTTAGCCTCTGTTTGACCCTATGCCCAAACGGGTATACAAACTTTGTTCAGTGCTCTCTATATTGATCTGTGTAAGCCGCTGAGCTAATCATTCGTTGATTCGAATGATGCACCACGCTAAGCTGGACGACGGCAACGGTTGGATAACAATGCTACCAATCCTTAATCAAGACATTTAATATAGTATTGTATTGATGATCGTTAATAAGTTAAATTTTTTTAAAAAATCAATTTATCTTTTGTACGCACGCGAGGCAACTCGTATAGTAGAGTACGTCAGCCCTGGCTAAAGCTTCCTCGGCTCGTACTTTTTTCGCCTGAATTTTTACAAGCTCCTTATCTGACGACGTCCTTTCAATATCTCCATGTAGCCGTTCAACGTCCCGCTGGTGAATGTAAGCTTGGCGTTTAAGTTTGGCCTCATCGATTCGTTTATCAACTACGATTTTCGCTTTTTTATCGACCTGACACTCCATCTGAAGTAAACGGGAGTAGAGGAAAAGATAGTTAATATTAAACCTATTTGCCGTAGCGAAGTGAAGAAGGCCTAGTAATCCTTGAGTTGTTTAAAAAGTATCAATAACAGACGTATGTATTATATAAATTAGTATATGGATCTTCAGCTTTGTATGAACCGCTTTCGAGCTTATATAGAGCGAACGATGAATCTTGGTACGTGTTTGATACGCATCCGGGTACCTGAAAATTCATCGTATTTTAAAAAATGCTTTGTAGACGTCTTCTTTTTTGCATCTTTATTTTGGTGTTTCAAATAGTTTTGGATCCGACTACAGAGCCTCATCTTTCTTCATAGAACAATGTTTACATTTGTTTGTGTGGTCATATGCGCTAAATCGCTTCATTCGTCGATAGGAGTATTTCCCTGACACCATGAAAACTAGTCTCCATTTTGAGGTCCAGTATCGCTGTTAGACTCATGAAACGTTCTCAATGCTGAAGATTTCTATCTAAGTTTAATCCTTATTACAAGTGAACAATGAAAATTGAGCCTACAAAATGAACAAATATATTCCTGACTGCCATCGCTGTCATGGTAGGGTAGAGGTGTTTTTGTCGACGAAATCAGTCATCGCTGCGTTGGGGGCTTACGAAACTGCAGCCTCTAAACGTAACTATAAGCGATCGCAAGTATGTGAGAGCAATCTGATTATTTCCCACGCAGGTAAATTTAACCAGCATGTATACTATTTGCCCATTTTGGTTCAGGTAAAGAAAAATTATGCGGTCGGCATAACAAAACCTATAGAGCATTATCCAGGTAAAATACTACATGATGTCTTAGAAATAATGTAGTTTTGAAGTACCATTAGATATTGTTAAAACGAATAGGTCTAGCAGGGTAACATATTCCCAGTTAAATTCTCGGCTGGCGTCAACCATGTTGAGTTGCGCAGTTGAGGGTAGCAGTAAAGCGCGACGTCATTATCGATACTATGAATTTGTACAGCAGATTTAGCGGCACTTTTTGAGCAGAGAGCATATTCACGATGATAGGTGACCTTCATGATGACGCTATAAACGCCCATTATACACGACGAGTCAGTTAGAACGGTGTTGTGACATATATTTATATGATCGACTTAATAGGCGATTTATTTACAGTGAAAGGCATTTGTTAACATATTATAGTAAAACGGTATCAATACGTTAATCAAGCAGAGCGAGGTTTCATGGTGAATGAATTCCTATCGATAATTTACATTTTGATTAGTCTATAGGATTTTAAATAAGGCGGGCTCAACCGCCACGTCGGAATATCTGTATCGGAGAAGCCGTTTTAACTGTCGCACTGTTTTAGCAGGTGTATGTATCAGAGAGCTGCCAAAATAGGGTCGTTGAATGCCAGCACAAAATTACCAATGACTAGAATAGCGTAAAGAATATCTCAACCTGGGCGATGGAGCAGTTACGTCGAACGGGTGTCATACCACCGAGTCGGAACACATTTTACGGTAGGCTAGAGAAAGTGCTGTCAAAAAACGTTCAGCGTTTACGGTCAGTGGGCCTTATGTATGAGTTGATAAACCAAATGTTTACAAGTCAAAACAAAAGGGTGCTATATATGTCGGGTGCCATTCGACCCGTATGATGACCCGGTTCATATAATCTTTTCGAGAAGCCGATTTATGAAAGCTAGACCTATACAAGTCGGGCGCCAATAACCGAACTGAGCTAGTAGTTGGTGTGGATGTATTATTGATTTGAGTGCGTTTTGTGTTAGGTTGTTTCGGAACCCGTTAACACATGCTTCTTCGCATTTAACACAGATTGCCTTTAGAGGCATCCGGTATCAAACTAGCCATGCTGTCCTAAGTTTGTCTATTCAATAAAAATACGAGCAGATAAAATAGACACGAAAATAATAGTGGAAGATGTTCGAATCGAAAAAGAAAACAATATAGTGGAACAGAGATCTGTTAAACTGTCACATTATATGAATCAAGCTTGAGTTGAATTACTCATGAAACTATTCAAATCCGTTATGGCATATGTTTCGCCCGCCAGCAGACTAATGTAACAATAGATTACAGATTATTTAGAGGCTAGAATGCTTAGTTTAGCACGTAGCTATTGGGTTGTTTTGATGCGCGCAAAGCGCGGTTAAATGAATTAAATTTGAATCAAATATGAAACGTCTATTCGAAGTCAACACCATTATCATAATAAACATAGAAAAAAAGTTAAAGGCGATTACTGTTGTTATCATTACTAGTCCTACATTCAAAACAAACATTACTAAGCCTACATCGCAACGAACATAGACAGCCATATCAACTGATAAATGTATGATATGCCTTGACTTTTGCCTAAACAACGCGCTAAGTTTTCTAGTTGTAGATAACATTTTAACTTACTAATACTGATGATCCTGACGATATTTTCTTCAAAGTTCAAATTTGAAACGTGGCATAACTTCGCAGTTCCTATGACCTATTTCCCTTGTTTTAATTTGAATGGTTCGCCATGCTCGTATATATAGATGTAATATTACAAGTAATTCTGTATGTAGCAGGATAGAACTAGACTCGTATTAAAAGCCGCTTAATAAAATTAAATCACCTATGAGTAAAGTTCCTAGGTGGTTTTCCATATCTGACCTCAAGTAAGGTAAACAAGCGTGAATTTTATTTGCAAGCAACATCTGCTAACTACGCCTACATTGAAAACCATATAAATCACTCTCAGATTGAGCTTGGCGTAGTTGACCGAACACGACTAGAGCTTAATACCCCGCTCTTCATTGTAGATTCCAACAAACATCACAGATAACTTTCGACTCTAACAATAACAGAATGAACAAATTTTCTTTTTACCATAGATTCCTTTAATGAAAGTATCGAGGCTATATTTACACAAGATATACATACATTTAAGCTATTTATTAAGGCCTAAGGCATGTCTACTGCTATTGTTACTCAGAGCCTATTAACATCGTATATAACGTTTTTGTAATAGAGATCTAAGACATTTTACAGCCTACGGATGTTTAGGTAAGAAGCCAACTTTGAGATCTAAACGACTATCCTAAGTTAGCTTTAAATTAAGGTTGACTATAGGCTTCACAACTTAACTCAACAACATTAACAGATCAGAGTTACATGTTCATTTTGCAATGACACTGCGGCAAGACGGCGCTAACATCTACGTGATTTTTCGTGTAGCACTCTTCGCAGTGCCGAGGAACGCAGTCGTGCTAATACAAGGAGCCTTGGAAGCCGTTTGTCACCGTTCGGACACGCGTAACTCGATAGTGATTCGTAAAAAGGGGAATCATTGGCATATTTACTTACAGCGAGATCTGCAGTTTTAACATGCTGTAACATAGTCATTAAAGGAAATCGCGGAGCTGCGACACTGGAGAAGCGCGATTCGATAAGCGCGTAAATATGTTTTATTAAAGCGCATACAAGTCGATGTTTTCTTTCATTAGGATTTCGGCTATTTTTATGACACAATTGAAAATTATGTTGAACTAGATAAGCGTCGTCCCCAGAGAGGTTTTGCGCTTGATAAACGGCTGATTCAGAGTTTCCCCCTCTGTGTTATATGGTGTACGTCTAGCAAGTTAACCTAATGACCAGTAAAATCCTTAACAATTCCCCTGTTAAGCATTGGGGCGCCAACTGAATAAAGTATGACTTGGGATGTCACCCTTCATGTTCTGTACGCTATTTTCCATGTGAGCAGAGGTGAGCGTATGCGTCAGAGAGATGTACTTACAGTTTTTCTCGCCTTAGCCTGGTTCTCACAGAGATTTCGCAGGGGTTTAACGACCTCCTCGGTAAGAGACAGAGATAATGCTCTGAAAATAGGCATAAAAGGTGCAACTGCATGTTAGTGGCATGCGTATGCGCAGGCACCGTGGGAAATTTGACAAATAAATAGTCTACAAAAACCCATTTATGTGATGACACTTTAAAAGCAATAAAAAAAAATATAGTGTTTTACATTGGGAACTTGAATAAATAACCTATTGCATTTCAAATTGGCCTAACCTTAACTTATTAAACACCGGACCCTTTAAAGTATTCTGCCTATCTTCAAGTGCAGTGGGCATATATCAGCTAATTAGAACGAATTTCAAGACCAACCTGTGGGTTTCAGCCTCGCGTTCCATCTGAATAGATACATTGCACCATGCATTTGCCGTCGACCTGCCCTCACACAGTAGAAAAACAATTGGTAATTTGTTCGTGTTTTTAAATCCGGAATTTAACCTGCTAAGTAGCCAAAGTTATTTCCGGATTCAAACCTAGGCCACTACGTGTCCCTAGGTTTCGAAGGCAAACACATTACTCAGTCCGCCGTTACGACTATATAGTGATTGTTTTTTTTGCCTATTCCATGCTTTTTGCAGAGCTAAGCTAGTTAAGAATATTATACCTAGTACCTAATTCCAGTTAACAAGTAACAGCCGTTGTATATGTTTGACCTAGGAAATATCGAGACCATCATAACTGTGTAGCCACACTTAAAACGAGACAAGAAATGGGCACGGCGCCCCATATTTTCCCAAATATACGTAGATGTAAAGCGTTCAACAATTTGCTCGAATCACTAATTTTTTTTAATTTACTGAACAGTTGGTCCTGCTCAACGATTGCGCATCGGATACTTTAAGGGGAGCATCAGATTGAAAACTAGGGCACCAATATTATGCATGCAAATTGACCGCTTTTAGAGAAGCATCCAAAAGCTTTATCAAGATTATAAAAACTGCTCGAACTGCGCGATCGACTACACAAGAAGCTGACGATAGCTGTCGTAGTTATGTTCGTTATATCAGTATGCAGACAGTGTATGTGGCACATACAAAATAGAGCCAAATGTGGCCTAAAATTTTTCCTACCCGACCGCGTTGGCTTGAGTGGTTTAAGTAAGAGAAAAAAAATACGATTAGCGTTTAGATGTTTTCTTGACCATGTAATTGTCGCTACTGACGAAGATTTGTGCCTATGACCCGTTTACGCACACGTTTTTCCGCCAAGAGAACGCCTTAAACCGTCTCTTTTACGTTTACGGTAAACTAGTAACGGACGTAACCATTTTCTGGATAATATACATTGTAATGCCATAAGAGAACAAAAAAGGTTGTCATCAGCGTTTCCTTTCAGCAGTCGTGATCATATTGGTATTATTGGCAGTTAAACGAACGGTAATACTTGCAGAAAGTATGGGGTATTGAAATGCGTATAAGCTCATGAGAAATTAAAATGCTACTTGAATAGGGCCCAAGTTTAAAGATGGTTCAAAGTAAAATTTTACCTTTAAACTGGTAAATGAAAGTTTTACTCAGGAGTAGAATTCTGATCTATTCTACGAAGACCGTCTTCTTATATCTAGTAATGCTCCTCACAAACGCGAATTATTTCATTATATGAACCGTCGTAAAGCAAACGGCGTTTCTACGCTCATGTCTATTGACACGATGTTCAGCGAACGATACCATTAGCATAACAGAAAGTAAAATTGTTGATTTGTTAGAGAACATTCGAGACATTTACTTTCTGTATATTACAGTATTGTCAAACGGGCTTATCCACGAATAGAGAAGTTTTCGATACCGCTTTTTTCGACTTCGTACAGCCATCAGGCGGATAACCTAGCAACACTCTCCTCTATAAATGAATAATAATAATCACCTTGCTTTTTTTAAATAGCCCTGGTACACACAACGACAGATAACGGTAAGCGTAGGTCGAACTGTATGAGCAAAAAGTCTGATTCTGGAATATCACGGTAGATCTCGTAGAATCGAATCAAATATGACCAGCTACAGACATCGTACAATCATGGCCACTAGAGTACATCTGCTTGGATCACGACGACTCAGTTCTACACACGCTAAAGCTACCGACAGCCGGCAGTTAGTTCAAGAAACGCTCACTAGTGACAATAATAATCGTATTTCGGCTTCTCGTTAAAAACAGCAGACATCTTTTCCATCAAACGTCTATGTGTTACATATATCTGGTCCGATCCGATATTATCGAAGCACACGATAGCAGTGCACAGATTGTTCTAGCTGTTGTAAAAGGAGCAACGGCGAGCGTTTTCACAGCCTTACATATATGTAATTTCGGCTGATGGGTCGAACGCTTTCGACATCAACGGGCACTATACCTAAATGGTGAAACAGTTGACGTTAGCAGATGACGCTAACCAAGTGGACGAGAAACGGAAAATGCATCTATGGCCAGAATTGTGTTGATCGTATTAGAGATGGCAGCCATTAGCCGATAGACTCCTCCAAGCGGCCAATACGATTAGCCAATCTATTTAGTGAAGTTGAAACAGGTAAAATTTGACATCAGCCGATTTGGATCCACGTGCACAATGCTGACCTAATATATGTGTGTGCCATTCGCTACTGCATATGAAATATATGGGTCAGCCTATTGTAGAGAGTCGATGCCAGATAATATTAGTTAGGGAAACTGAATAGTAATACTAACTATATTGACTAGTAATTTATCACTGCAAACCCGTGTTACATTTTCCGTTTTTTATAGAAGAGGTTTTTCGAAAAGCTTGTTCGATAAAGGCAGGTATTTTTTGTGAACGCGAACGAAGACAAACATTTCTGGATTTCAAAGTTACCATATAATTTTGAAGATGATGCGAAATAATGCTCACAAGTATGTTTCACTGATTTGACAGATAGAACATCAGGTATACGAGTTACATTACTTTTTCGTTAGTTTTTTACACTTACCCGATATTGTCTCTGGCTACTTTGTTTAACTTCACAGCTAACTTGAACAATCCTTTTGCATAAGTGGTCTCTAGTTCAGACCTGAAAAACAAACAATAGCGCGTATGAATTGTCTTTTGATACACTAATTGAGGTTCGAAATAAAGTTGAAACGTACCGCGTATTTCGAAAAGCTATTACTAGCTAGTAATGATTAAACCGTTAAGTTTCTGAGAAATACAATCCTGAGGCAACAGTACCTTCTGATCGCTACACCTTATACTACTACAAACATCACGCAGTCTGTTTCATTTACATTTACATTTCATATACAGTTTATTGCTGCAAGTAGAATGTTATTTTTTTTAATCAAGGGAAAGCAAAAGTCAAGTTCCGCTAAATTACGAAAAACCTTCAGCCAATCGACAAAGTTCTCTTCTACGATCCTAAGTTCCACTTGCTTTTTTGGCATGACCATCCTCGTTGCCTTGACCAACCGTTTTGTTCCATCCACTGATTCTGCTTTCAGTCTGTTTAAATTTGCATGATGACCGCCGCTTATTCATTTCACTTTCGAGAGTCATGAGCAGCCCAGTGTTACGGCAGCCTAGGAAGTGTTTTAGGAAATTCGTGCTCACTTCGCTATTTACCGTGCAGATACGTCCACGTAAAATCATTCTGAAGCGAGAAACAAGCAGCTGGGGAGGTGAACTTTCTCTTCGGTAACCTTATCAGATGCTCAAGATTGTATTAAACAGCTACGGGAGCCTAGGCATTGTCCAAATGGTCGTTATCACTGTATGTAGGCTTGGCGACATGGATCTAAGTTGCGCTTCTGGAGTGCCTAAATGACGTTTTCAGTTAAGTTGTTTGTCGGCCAATTGATCGCATGGTAGCTTGGACAAAATGGTGATACCTGGTTCGTATGCGCGTGCTAAACATAGGAACGCGAAATATCTTATTGCCGAAGTAAAGCTGGACAAAGCAAAGGTCATCGAGGCGCATAGGGATAAGCTCGCCGAAGACGGCCGACGACTATGGTGTAGTTAAAATGGCGATAAGATTTCACAGGTGAGGCACACCTGTGGGGAAAATCATCTTTCTCGATTCGTTTCACGCAAGCACGTCAGGGATGTCGATAGCTAGATTGTCAAATCCGATCATTTCGAGTATAAAGTTAATGAGTTCCGTGATTCCGACTCAAACGTTGCAGATATATCAGTGTATCAAATGAGTGAAATGTAAGCCTTATGCCGAAGATGAGATTTCCTCTGTGTACAACGTCAAGTCGATATGCATCTATCGTATAATAACTATTGCCATATTTGCCAAAAAAGGTACATTTAGCTTTCGAATGTCCATATATACCTGCTTAGACAGTATGGATGAAAAATCTTCGAGGAAAAGCCACATCTAGCTATGTGTATGCGTGCATTACTCCAATTAGTCAGTTCGCTAATTGCAAAGCTAGGGGCTCCGTCTCTTGTGCTGTTTGAATTGAGCTACATTATACGCATATGTAAGTTTCTCGCAGACCTACTTCACAATCAATCACTGTAGTCATTTCCATTCTACCTACAACAGCGGTAAAACTGTGCAGATCAAGAACTAGCTACATTATAATTCTACAGCTCGTTGTGCATATTCACACATGTGCACATATTTAAACAAATGTGGGTTAAACCACCGTGGACAAAGCCATTGTAGGACAAACTTGTGTATTACGGAAGCACCGAATGGTAACTGTGCAATCATATTATTTCGCATACATACGGAATGATATGATATTTGAGATTTCGCTTCGCACTGCCGAGTTCTTGAAAAGTACATACCTCACTACAAGTAGGACCCGGCTGAACAAACGTGAGAAATTATGTAACAGCCAGGACCATAGCAGGCAAAAGAGGAACCAAGCGGGAACTAAACACGGTGAACGAATCGTCTTATTCGTTGTCAGGTCCAGCTCGCGCTATTCAGCATGTCTCGTCGAAGTATTAATAAGCGTCAATGTTTAAATAGGGAAACAGAGACGTCTGGCAAGCCGATCTGTGATCTAGTAGAGATTAAACAACCGAAACAGATACGAATATTCAAAAGGCAACGATGAAAAATCAAAAAACCATTTGCGATAAAAGGCCAACGAAACGAAAGCGTCACAGTGCGCTGGTGTTACTTCATGTCGGATTATCTCCGACAAAACGATCTGGAATTGACTTGGAACAAAACGATAAGGTTCCGTTAAAGGTGAAATTTAAGGACTGCGCTAAAATTTGGTTCCAAACTCCACATATATATATATACATATATATATATATATATGTAGGATGAAGTACATGAATCTCAGTTCGCCAGTTGGAAAAAAGCAACCAAAAAATAGGTCTACATAAAAACTAACTAGTACAAGGCTATTTACTTGGGTTCGTGTTGTAGAAACAGTTAGTACAATTCTTAACTCAAAAAGTCGTTGGCTACAAAACTAGACGCGTGCCTTGACCATCTAACTTGAGGGGTTATGAGCTTCGTACCCGCTGACTTGCTACTGCTACGACAAGACTGACACCACTATTCTCAAATGGAAAGCTCCAAGCTAAATAGACGTCTGGCAATAGATGTTCGCCCTCTGTCGCAGCCCTAATTATTGCGATAGTACGGCTCCTTTGGTCCTATGTAATAGCTACAATGAGTTTATATATTTACTCGCTTCTTCCAGTTCATGTCCTGACCGATTCTAGGAAGCAAGGAAGGACCAGGAATGCCAGCTATAATTAAATAACAGCAAACATAATCAAATATTGAGAGATATATTGAGAATTACCACGATCTATGCTGCGTGTAGATGCAACGTGTAATTAAGTAGGCACATGGGCAGCTTCTGTACGTACAGCCGATAATTATACGTGTTTATTAAAACGGAACTCCAATACAGTTAATTACAGACGCAAGATTTATGTCAGATAGAGCTGAGGCGACTGGTGGGACCATGATTTATCGTTAACTAAAAGCAGTGCGTACATCATAGTAAAAATAATTAAAGGTATCTAGTAAGTGGAAAGCATTAGCAGTCTATTCAATATGCGTTATGTCTCGAGTGAATCAGACGACCCGATTGTATGGCTGGTAAACCACTCGATAAATCACGACGCATTAGGCTGTTTCTACTTTTTTTTTTTTTTTTTTTTTTTTTTTAATATGAATGTCGGTTTTTGATTATGCAATATGAAGTCAGTCACAATGACAAGCCTATAAACGGGTTGACGGCGTGCTGGGTCAGGATCTTAACCGCTTTTTCTAACTCCACAGGCATGCTGATCCTAAACAACAAGAAAAATCTATTATGACTTAGAGAGAATTTGATTTAATCTCGCCTTAGCGAAAACTCTATTGAAATATATACAGCGGATGAACACTGGACGAAGATTATTTATCTACATATTGCTTATAAATGATATCCTCATTGTTATCCAAACCGAAGATTAGTTTTTACACCTTATTTATAGCGATACAAACTGCGGTCACGAAATACATATGACATGACGGTATGGTCCTGAATTGTTTTGCTTAGTTATTTATGCAGTCGATCATTCATTACTGTATACCGAGTTAAGACAGTGGGTCTCAGCCACAGCAGTCCTATCCTTCGTGTCCGTATCTGTAGCTGAATGAGACTGCTAGCCCCTTAGGATTGCGCAGGTACAGAGAGTTCCAGTGCAATAGGATCACGTTAAATTGTATTGCTAAAGCTGCCTACTAGTAGCGATTAGAAGTTTACTTCAACTAATAATATTTTTATAACAATTATATTAATTACGGCAGCAGACGTCCCAAAATGTCATCTTTGCCTTTACACACATATATACATATACTATATATATAGGGTTGTCAGAAAGGTAATAACGGTTTTTCAAGCTGGAGGACATTAAAATCACATCTAATAATAATAACAGTAATAATAGGTCTGCGTTACTGTTTCTGAGAAGCTTAGTAGATGTGCTAACATAACTATAATGATTTATTTATGGATTTAAAATAGACCACCTCGAAGATGAGTGAGCTTCTACAAAGATTCACCCTGTTTTAAAATTTGAGTACGATAAAGACCCATAAAAGACTCGTAGCCTTTATGGTCGGCGACCCAAAAATTGTTTCGTCGCTTTTGTTCTGGAAAAAGTGTTCTTCATTGTCGCTAGCTGGAGAACAAAGCTCAATGTCTGATTGCCACGTAAATTAATGTAAAAAAATTTACATCACTGAAAACTACTTTTCGTTTTCGTATTTACATCGGTGAAACTCTACATGAATGTTACGAAATCGAACCATTTTTGAAGCGGTGGGTCACGGCTAGCTAAAATCATAGATAAAAGTATTATACGCAAAAGATCTGCACCGCGATTGGTGGTAGGGTTCGGACTGATGACGAGGAACGTGATGCTACATGTTTAATGCCACTGGAAAGAAATCGCACATTATGGGCTGCTGCTGCTGCTGCCTAGCAGAACGTTTTATTCAGACCCCCATTCTCAATGACAAACAAAATAATGAGAAATCCTTGAAATGAATCGGTTGGAATTAGTAAACGGAAGGGGCTCTCTGATGTAACAATGCAAAACCACATGCATCCTTAGCACCTTTATCCGGTAAATGTTAAATGATTCGACTAGGAAATATCGATGTGTCGAACGTATGACCCGGGTCTTGCACCAGCAGACTATCGTTGATTGTTTCGAACTCTACAGAATGTATTCTATATATATAGTCCAATTTACTTTCTTGAAAATCAATGGAGGAACACGAAAATCATTTGTCATAATTTGCGGTCTACAAACCATAGAAGTGTCACAGTAATAGGATTATGGTGCTATCACAAAAATGGCAGAAGGTCAGTCAATCAGAACGGCCCATATTCACTTAGTAACACTGTATCAAAAAGAAAAAGATATTTGTTTTAATGTTGCCTCAGAAACGGTCAATACCTTATTGACAATCCTATATATATATATATATATATATATGTATGTAGGGTTGTCAATAAATCATACATACAACCGTGTAACTTTGATTTGTAGAGAATCGATCAAACTATAATTAGCATGATATTTGTGGCT